TTGTTATGGTTCAAAATATGGGGATGGAGACAAGAGACAAGAGAAAAAACCACAATAACAACACTGGTCCGACCGGGTTAAGTCAAACGATGATTTTAATGATCACACGCGTGGGAGATGGACACTGATGCAGACAGCCTCAGATCTCAAAATGGTGGAGCATTGCTCAAACTCTTATAGCCTCTGGTTCTCCACCTTATCATAAAAGCCTAAACATTCACATGCTTTTCTCTCACACGGCGCCTAAGCTACGACCTTGGCTCCCCGTTTATCTGCTCCTGCTGAGTTGGGGCAGAAAACTCCAGCATGCTCTGTTCTCTTCTAATCAGACAAATAAGGCGATGGCTTTCTGCAGCAGTATTATGCATCATAAAACAATATCATTCATCCACAATAAATCAGCAGTCTAATGTAATGCAAATCAGTTTAACTAATGCAATAGTTATCAGCTTCTTCTAATTCAGGAGAATAATGCAAACTAAAACTACATAATAATTCACAATCTTTAGTTAGGGGTATAACATGGCATAAAATAATATTATAATCTAACAGTATGCTGCTGCCTCTCTCTCATGTTACTTAAAAAATTAACCCACAGCTTCAATAACCGTATCTAAAAATCTCTCAGTGAAAGTTACGGTTGTAGGTTTGGAAACATTTTGGGGTAGCCAGTGTTAAATAGAGACAGGGCCACATTCTTTATCTAGTCATTGTAATGAAAGAAGCACATTAAAAACTATATGAGAGTTTGCTTTTAACAAGCATGTAATGACTCTACTTAGTTTAGGTAGTCTTAGGGAGTCAAACTGAAAGTAGCATTTTGTGGATGTTTTCCCTGCTGCCCGATCCCATCAGTCTCTTAAAGCATCATTTTTATGCGCCCTGATGTGACAGAGGTTTCATGGCGCTACAGGTTACCTGAGCACATCAGGTATATTACGGTTGAAAACCAGTGCCCGGCCTTCCAGTGGGTGTTCGACCCCTCGTGCACAGCTCAGGAGTCTAAACGACCCAGCAGTTATGGACATGTGTGTTTTTGGTGTGCTGTCCCTCGTTCTCCCTGCTTGCAGGTATATCTGTGTGTGTGTGTGTGGATGCCGGAGTTTCTGAGAGCACCTGTTTACAGGCACCTTCAGGCCTGGTGGGTGTGGCCCTGCCAGGTGGTTGGCCACACTTGAAGACCATCACACAGCTGATCAAGCCTTGTCGAGGAGCTACTTAAGAATGCGGTGGCGCTCTCTCTGACGCTGGATCATTGCGTGACTTCACGTTAGTCTCTCGGCCAGTCAGTACGGATAGTCTGCCGCATTGTATGTGTCTTACGGCTGCCTGTTTGTTATCTCCCCAGGAGAAGCGTGGAGACGAGAGGGCAGCGAGCACGGGGTGCTCAGACACTGAGGAGCGGAGACAAGGAACACTAGCACTGGGAAGAGGACATTTCACGGGAGTCGGGAACGCACTGCGGATTTATTGTTATTTTCCATTCACTGTAAATAAACGCACTGCTTGCATTCAGAGCTCCGTGCCTGGCTCCTCCTTCCTCACATCCCCACGGTTGACGCTGGCCAACCGTGACAAATAGCTTTTCTTAGATTCATTATTAGTTCAACATTGACAAATAGTAGTTGACTAATATCAGGAGCCAAAAAGAAAACAAAAAACAAACTAAATAAATATTTCAGACGCTGAAAATAAATTATTACGGTTGTTTAAATTTGCTGTCAGCAAGTTAGGTCTAATGCATGTAGTCAATCTAATGAATCAATATTACATGTAAAAAGTACAGAACTGAAAATGAAACTAAAATATAACGGTAAATGAACTGGTTCTTGTATAAAACCTTTCTACTCTCTACAACTTGCCTCATTCATGCACTCACTTTTTTCTATGCTTTTTCTCTGTAAGTGCTTTCTATCTAACATTAATACGCATTCATCCTCCCGATGGATGCATCGGAGAGCAACTTGGGGTTAGCGTCTTGCCCAAGGATATTTGGCATGCAGGCTGGAGCAGGCGGGGATTGAACCAGCAACTTTCTGATTAGTAGGTTTCCTGCTCTACCTGAGCTACAGACACCCCAATTTGTGGTGCTCTGGAAACAACACGTTCTCATCCCAACAGGTAACGATGCTATGTGACAAATCATCGGTATGTGTAAATGTGTTTTTTGTTCTAATCATGAATCGCTTTGTAAAACAAGACCTGATAGGGTTAAGGTTAAAGTTATGGTTAGAGTTAATGTTAGGGATAGGGCTGGAATGGACGGCTGGAGCCTCTCCTCCAAGTGTGTGTTACTGCCGCCATCAGCATTCTGTTGTATTCTGTTGTCTGCTTTTCTCTGTAAGCGCTTCGAGCCTGTACTTTTTTGCTTTAGCTGAGTAATGAAGTTGAATCAGTACTTTAACTTTCACTGGAACAATAGTATTTTTACTTCTACTTAAGTGGAGAATGTCTGATCTTTTGCCAACTCTGGCTGTCTCTCAGTCTTGGAATACCCACTTGTTGTCCAGCGGTGTCCTGGGAATATGGGAACTAGACAGACTGGGGAAACAATGGGAGGAGACACAAAGATGGAATCACTTTTACCATCTTTTATGTATTTGCTGGTCGTCTTATTTCTTCTATTTTGCAAGCACAGTGTTGCAATCATTGTCTTTGTGGTACAATGACACAGGTAGAATGCAGGTGTTTTCATGTAACACGATGCCAGAAAGATGAGTAATGTGTTTTGAAGAGAAGATAAAACATCATGTTTGAACAAAGATAAGCAGCAGACACGTCTGTGTGTGAGTTGTTCAGGTTCAGTAAGAAGGTAATATGTCTGCAGAATTTGTAATTCTTATGAAGATATTGCTTGTACAATAAATAAAATCCCTTTAACTTCTTCTGGAGAGTGTCTTTATATATTTAGTCATTTTGGGGCGATCCTTTATTTAGTAGTAACTCTAGTCGGGGATATATATCAGAGTTTACTTTCAGATATGAGCATTGTGTTTCCTGTGGATGAATGAATGAATTATTTATTTATGTAATTTTTGAAAGACTGGCTCATGTAAAATCTCTGAAAGTATGACAAAGCTCTCCTGTTACACTTTATGGACACCTGAGCGTCACCATGAGGGCCTGTCTTTATTCACTTTATTCACTGAAATCCACTTTTATAATGAATTCACAGTAATCACTGACACCTTCAGAGCATTACATTCATTAAAGACGTCTTCTACACCTACTCTTCCAGACGACCGACACATACTTCAACCACTGCAGGTTAACCAGCCACTCATCAGTAAAGCAAAAACTAAATGTAAATGTCCTCATGTGGAAAAGACTGAAACACAACTCCCATATATCACTAATGTAACAGATCCATTTAGGGAGAGTGAGAACACTAGGCTGGATGTGTTTTAATGCAGGAACATTCATCATGTCTTCAGTTCAACAAATCATTTACATTGAATATGTGAGCTGGATGGTTACACGACACAATGTGATTGTCAACAATAACTGCAATGAACGCTGGTTTGAGGGCGGAGTCAAGGAGGCCATTTACGTGAAAAGGGAAAGACCCTCTCTGAATCAAGGAGGGGGCCTAAGGGTACATCTGTCACCATCTTACAATGCTGTGATTGCAGCCGTTCTCCAACTCTCTGTGAATGGTACTCAGGACCATTGATCAGTGGTTGTTGATCAATGGTCATGAGAATTTGCATAATCATGATTAAGGAACTGACCTCCCAGCCCATTGTTCCTTCAGTCGGCTGGTTTCTCTGACTGAAAACGCTACGTCCAGAAGAACAGAATCAACTTTTGGAGATTTACTTCCCTGATGATTGAGCACGCATCAAGACCTTTTAATCAGGCCAACAAATATCTTGTACTCAATTTTAGCAGCAGCCATTGTGACACTGATGATAAAACTTGTGTAAAAGTGCGAAGCTGTAAAAAAGTAATTATAAAAAAGCGTTTTTGTAGCTGAATGTTACTGGATAGCTGTTTCATCTGTAACACATCAAAATAACCTGCTAAGGTTTAATAGGCTATAAGGAACACACTCACTTCCTGAGCCCTGGGCAATAAGAGACGTTTTGTGTTTTATGATTTATTGATATGTTTGATCCTTTCTGACCTGCGTTAATGAAGCAGTCATTAGAGACCATGTCCGCTAGAATAGTTCTGTAGTTTGATGCTTGAGTCGTTGCAGACTTGTTGAAACTCCCTCACCCGTCAAAGCAGCGTCTTTGTTATTCGAGTCCAGCAGATGGCAGTGTTTCACTGTCTGACGGCTGTCTGAAGCTTCAGCTGGATTATCCGTTTCATGTTTGATTAGAGTTTGTGTGTGTGTGTGTGTGTGTGTGTGGGTTTTTAGCCACGAGTTGTCCACGATGAAGCATATTGAATGGCCTGTCTAATATTGTTAGAATTCTCCTTTGGGTTAGTTTCATTACTCAATCGGGACATTTATTTGGAAAAAGAAAAAAAGAGGGGGAAAAAAAGAAAAAAAAGAAAAGAATTAAAAATAAATAAATCCTCATAGTTTACATTTACAAATATCAATACTGAATGTTACGTCCCTCTGCAGCTTCTAATCGTCTCAGTGTTTTCAGCTGGTGCTAATTGGCCACACCTAGTCAGGTGTGGATAAAGCATACCTGAGGCAAGCTTCCCGCAGTGCACTAGTCTTTGCCTTGGTGGCACCAGCCATTTTAGCCAACCTGGTTTTCCATTTTAGGATGAAACCTCTTCTCACCCACACTCTGCTATTCATCTCTGTTTTTATGTTGCGGCTTTTGAGCCGGGTCGTAACATAGTATAATCACACTGGAAGTACCAGCATCAGGAATGTGGTTTCTTCTTTTTGGATCTATAATATTTAGTCTGGTTAGTTATTGTTACTGTAACCAGTGCAAAATCTGCTCTGATGACTCAACGTTAATGTTTGAGCCCTGAGCGCTAAAAGAAGTGTTTTGTAAAGTATTAAACTACCTTTAATGGAAGGAAAAACGGATCACTGCTTCCTATAAGAGTTGGTTTTCTCTGTGTGTGTAGCCACTCTGTGCCTGGTGGACTTGGCTGGCAGTGAGCGAATGGTGAAGAGCCAGTCTCAGGGTGACCGTTTCAAAGAGATGACCGCCATCAACAGCTCACTGTCCAACCTGGGCGTCGTTATCGCCGCTCTGGCCAAAAAGGTCTGCAGCTGCAGTTTCTGTAGTCTTAGATGTCACACCTGCTTTCTTTACATTTACAGTATTAATGATTTTTTTGGCCTTTGTGTTCCAGGAGACTTACGTAGCTTACAGGAACTCGAAGCTCACGTACCTCCTTCAGGGATGTTTGGGGGGAAACGGCAAAACGTGAGTTTGTTGACATCACAAATCTTTATAATGACGACACATAAAACTGAAGGAATTTATCCCCAAAAAATATTTAACAGCGTTTGATCTCATCACTTCAGATTGTGACTGTTTATTCTTTGGCACTAATTTTGGATGTCTTTATTTGCAGCTTGATGTTTGTTAACATTGCTCCGGAGCCCGACAGCTTTGGGGAAACTCTGAACTCATTGAGGTTTGCCAGCAAGGTCAGTGCAGTCTTGTTTCCAGTGTTCATTGGACAGAGTACATTAATGATGTCCTTACATCAGCTGTTTATGGTAAACCAAAGCCATACTCCATATCCATTTTAATACCTTGGTGTGTAATTCATACTCACATTTTGTCTGAAGAGTAGGGATGTTCCTGGCGTCTTATTTACTAGTCGACTAATCGAGGGGAAATAATTAGACTAACCAACTAATGTAAAACTAAGGAACATTCAGATATTGAGTTAATTTTCAGAACTGATTAATAGAAACTGTCAAACTAGACGCAGAGGTATCTTAAACCATTTATCACATTCTGTTAAATACAAATGAAAATGCATTACTACAAAAGATGTTCTATTAAAATATGACAATCATTTGAGAATCTAAAAGTACGTCTAAGTGTGGCGAGAATGATTCAGGTAATACATTATACAGCCGTTTTCTAGTCAGGTTGTGGGGGCAGCAGGAAGGACTACTCCTGACCACAGCTGATAGATGTAAACTGGCTAGCATGACCAAGGATGCTGGGGCCTCCTACTGGTAGGACGTGCCCAGCTGGAACAGCCTCCTGGCCAAGGTGGCTGTCACCTTTTGATGTGAAGGAGTAGTGACTCTACTCTGAGCCCCTCCCCCATTGACTTAACTGCTCTCCTAAAGGAGAGGTTTTCCACCTCTCAGGAAACTAATTTCCTCTGCGTGTATCTGCGATCTCAGTGTTAACAAGAAGATCAGGGTAGATTAATAGATTTATGGCGTTTCTCAACAACAGTGCACCATCTGGTGGTAGATCGCTGCCTAACATTTAGAACACAATGTACCAGCATTGGGCATCAATTAAAATGTTAACAATTAGATTGAACGACTGGTAAGCCTGATACAGACTAGTGACAATTAGTCGACTAGTCACATAAATCCCTGATAGAGCCCACAGAAGTGGCCTGCACCATGTGCGTGGCTTGCTTTGCAGTTTAACCACCAAAACACTCGTCTGCAGTGGAATTTCTTTGAGCTAATCGATTCATTTATTTCATTTCTTCTTCTAATTAATGTGGAAAATGGTGGCAAAGGTGGCTGAAATGAGTGATTCCTAGAGTTACATGTCAGTTTACAGCATAGGGATTAAGTTTACAGTATAAATACCACTGAATTGTACAAGGATTTGAAGTTTCACTGTAACTTTAACATTTTTGACAATTTTGTTTTGTTTTCTCCCCCACAGGTGAACGACTGCGTCATCAGGACAGCGACTGCCAACAAAAAGTAGAAATTATTAAAAAAAAACCCTGAGTTTTCTACTTTTTAGGTTCATCTCAGGTTTCCACGCTGAGTTGGTCATGACAGTTGCCATGTGTGATGGCATGCCACACATGGTAAGCTCCACACCTCACCACCCGTTGATTCACTTTAGTTTAATTTACAGTCACTACTTTAAAATATTCCATTTATTGTTCAATATCGTTTCTTTATTAAATGTATTCATTTTTCCATCACACCTTCCAATGTTTATATGGCGTGCACACATATTAACCTTGCAAGGTCAAAGCTCTGTTTTATGTTATATTAATACATCTTTGTTTGAGTTACCTGGGGGTTGGTGTCTCCTCCTGTCTGGCAAAGGGCTGGGAGACCTGAAGTACTACTGACAGCCTAATTGGATTGCACCACATGCAGGTGAACGACTGCGTCATCAGGACAACAAAGTAGAAATTATTAAAAGAGTAACTTTTATATATGTGCGTTTAAAGCAGGGTGTCAGGTTTTTTTGTTTTTTTTCCACATATGTTGGATTATGTTTCTATATATATACTTTGTAAAGGGTATTTTAAATGAATGAAAATGAATAAATATGATTGTTTCTTTTACCTGTTTCGATGTCTGCCATATCATTAGTATGTTTCGTGGGAATTAAATGTTTATTTAACATGTACGCTATTACATTTACTCTACAAATAAAACCTAATTTAAAGGCTGTTGCATTTTATTGCCTTTTTTCTTTCCTTTTCTTAAAGTTATGAAGGCATCTTGGATGCCATTTCAGTGAGTGGGGGTTAATGCCCCACACTCTTTTCTGTCACTGCTTTGAATGCACAGACTGGTCTTAATGTTGATCTTTGTAATCTTCAGTGTTACGACCCGGCTCAAAAGCCGCAACATAAAAACAGAGATGAATAGCAGAGTGTGGGTGAGAAGAGGTTTCATCCTAAAATGGAAAACCAGGTTGGCTAAAATGGCTGGTGCCACCAAGCAAAGACTAGTGCACTGCCGGGAAGCTTGCCTCAGGTATGCTTTTATCCACACCTGACTAGGTGTGGCCAATTAGCACCAGCTGAAAACACTGAGACGATTAGAAGCTGCAGAGGGACGTAACACCTCCTCCCTTAAAAGGGTTCCTCTAGGACCCCTAAACAAATTAAAAGTTCCTCTGAAGCAAGTTGGCATCTTTAAGCATGGATGCCCCTACATGAGGATCTGAAGTTGCCACACTGAACACACAAAAAGTAACATGTGACCAACACAAAAGAGCACAACAGTCAAACCCAAAATGATTACCTGACCTGCTACAACACAAAACCAAAAGTACACTAAAAACAACAAATCCCTTACTTTCCCTACCCTAGTCTTCAGTGGTGTACCAGGCTCGAGGCAACTTTAAACGCGAACTCGAGAGCAGGCAGCAGACCAGAGATATAGTCTCCTACCAAGCTCTGAAGCGTACCCCCACCCAGGATAGCCACCAAACACAAACTAAAACAATAAAGCAAAACAACAAACAAGTGCTTCGATGGAAGGGCAGCACAGTCACCCAGCTGAAACACACTAAAGGGAGTTTGCTCAATTACACTGAACACCATCACTCACCCACTTAAGAGCAAAACAAACTGACATTCAGTCTCCACTAAAATGTCCAAAGATCCCGGACGAGCCACCACTTATGTTATGTATAGTGTGATTTGGCCATCTGAACACGCTACCTATATAAATCCCAGCAGGAAGCATGTTTTAATAGTGTGATTTGGCCATCTGAACACGCTACCTATATAAATCCAAGCAGGAAGCATGTTTTAATAGTGTGATTGGGTCATCTGAACATCCTACCTATATAAATCCCAGCAGGAAGCATGTTTTAATAGTGTGATTGGGTCATCTGAACATCCTACCTATATAAATCCCAGCAGGAAACATGTTTTAATAGTGTGATTGGGCCATCTGAACAGCCTACCTATATAAATCCCAGCAGGAAGCATGTTTTAATAGTGTGATTGGGCCATCTGAACATGCTACCTATATAAATCCAAGCAGGAAGCATGTTTTAATAGTGTGATTGGGACATCTGAACATCCTACCTATATAAATCCCAGCAGGAAGCATGTTTTAATAGTGTGATTGGGTCATCTGAACACGCTACCTATATAAATCCCAGCAGGAAGCATGTTTTAATAGTGTGATTGGGCCATCTGAACACGCTACCTATATAAATCCAAGCAGGAAGCATGTTTTAATAGTGTGATTGGGTCATCTGAACACCCTACCTATATAAATCCAAGCAGGAAGCATGTTTTAATAGTGTGATTGGGTCATCTGAACACGCTACCTATATAAATCCAAGCAGGAAGCATGTTTTAATAGTGTGATTGGGCCATCTGAACATCCTACCTATATAAATCCAAGCAGGAAGCATGTTTTAATAGTGTGATTGGGCCATCTGAACATGCTACCTATATAAATCCAAGCAGGAAGCATGTTTTAATAGTGTGATTGGGCCATCTGAACATGCTACCTATATAAATCCCAGCAGGAAGCATGTTTTAATAGTGTGATTTGGCCATCTGAACACGCTACCTATATAAATCCCAGCAGGAAGCATGTTTTAATAGTGTGATTGGGTCATCTGAACACCCTACCTATATAAATCCCAGCAGGAAGCATGTTTTAAAAGTGTGATTGGGTCATCTGAACACCCTACCTATATAAATCCCAGCAGGAAGCATGTTTTAATAGTGTGATTTGGTCATCTGAACATGCTACCTATATAAATCCCAGCAGGAAGCATGTTTTAATAGTGTGATTGGGTCATCTGAACACGCTACCTATATAAATCCAAGCAGGAAGCATGTTTTAATAGTGTGATTGGGTCATCTGAACACGCTACCTATATAAATCCCAGCAGGAAGCATGTTTTAATAGTGTGATTGGGTCATCTGAACACGCTACCTATATAAATCCCAGCAGGAAGCATGTTTTAATAGTGTGATTGGGTCATCTGAACACCTACCTATATAAATCCCAGCAGGAAGCATGTTTTAATAGTGTGATTGGGTCATCTGAACACGCTACCTATACGACAGAGCCATTAACCACGTAAGGTAGCATATTCTGATAAGTTAGCACGGATTGATAGACAAGACTATAAATTTACGCTACGGTAGGATGTTTTGACAGAACACCTTTTCTCGTCGCCAACATTTTTCTTTTGTTAAGCTTACTGTTATCAAGGCATGGTAAATGAACAGTAAACATTGCCTGATGACTAATCTTCCCGTTTCCCTCTCATTGATTTATTTGGGTTGTCATGGCAGAAGTATTAAACGATGCCTTTTATTAGAACATAAGCATTTAAAGGAGTAATTGTATTTGAATTAGTTAAATATGAGTGGGCAACTCTGACCATGACAAGACTGCATTTGCTCTAGAAACTTAATAAAAAATTTAGACATATTGTTGTCATTATTTTTACTCTTCAATTTTATGTGTTTTTTCTTTAAGATGGTATCAGAAGTTGCTCCTCCACCAGGAAAAAAACCATCTGCATATATTCTTTCACTACAGCCACGATTCTCCTCTGTGGTCTTCCTCATTCATCCTGTTTGGAGCTTAATGTTCAACATCCTTTATCTGTTAAAATTACAGAAGGAGAAGAAAGTAATCATCAGAGCAGGAATCATGATAAATGATAAATAGATTACCAGTACATACAAACATAACACTTGCATAATTTCTCTGATAACGCTGCATTGGATGGGTTTATTAACGGTGGGCTGAAATTGTACTACAGTCTGCTGGTGAGGAACTTTTTTGAGTGTTGAATAAAATGTCCTCCACAATCTGTATATGAATTGTCATTAAAACCACAGAGATTCTTACTTATAAAGGAAAGAAAAGTGGGACAAAGCCCATCAACATATAGTGTATATTTTCTGAAACATTACAAAGATGCAGGTAATTCTGGGTTCACCTGAATTACAGATTAGACTGGTGGACAAACAGATGTTGTGTACAACTGGTGACAGCATCAGTGACAACAAATTAATCAGCGAGGCTGGAAGCAGAATTAGGAGGCGTCAGAGTCAGCGAGGGTCAGAGATCGACGAACAAATTGCCCACCTTCATGGATAATGCATCCCCCTCAGAAGGATTCAAAATTAGGCCACGAAGAACAGTTCAGGAAACCTATTTTGTTTCGTCTGTGAAACTGTATAAATAAAATGTAAATTATGTTAAAGGCAAACACATTTGTAAGCCATAAGAAACAAACATACTTTGCAATATACCTTCAAACATCTGTATAGATTTGATACATTATTTATTAACTGAATTTGCTAACATGTCTTACATAGTGAGTGTGTCACGGCTGCCGAGGTCAGCCGTGCGGAATAAATGAGGATCCAATCACAGGCAGTCGTGGAGAAGTGAAGGTGATTTATTGAACACAAAAAGAATGTGGACAAACAGCAAACGGGGCTCGAACTAAACTAAACTGGGAAACAACTAAACTACAGAGCACAATCCTGATTGAAAACGAGCAGAGGAGAATGACGATGAAAAGCAAGGAGAAGGCACGGTGGATACACTGAGTAATACAGACGAACCGGCAACATGCAGGAGAACACACAGGGCTTAAATACACACACACCAGTAATCAGGGGATGAGAGACAGGAGGGCAACACAGCTGGGAGAAATCAGAGCTGATGGGACAGGGGAAATGTAAACTGAACATACTCACATCAGACAGAGACCTTCACAATAAAACAGGAAACTCAGACACGGGGAACCAAACAAGACACAGATCTAAACAGACAGCTTCACAAACAGATGGGGTGACACCATAGACAGACAGAGACACAGACTCAAAGGCAGACCGAATATCACACATAGAACTCAAACAATAATAATAATCATCATCATCATCATAAACTAGAAAATGATAACTAAAAGCACTGGGTCACTGACCCAGGACCATGACAGAGTGTTTCTTTTACTGATGATATTTCAGTGATATGTATTTTTTATGACTAAATAATGCTCTATCGAACACCTGGCAATAACAGCAGGTGTGGCAATTTTGTAATTTGTTGTTTAAATTTGATATTATTGTAGGCAGTATATTTTCTTAGCCTTTGTCATACTCATGCTTAACCCTCTCAGGCTCAAATTAAGTTTTTGTTGCTAATGCACAAAAGAATACCTGCAGTGGTACTTCTGAGTAAAAAACTCATGAAATATGTATGTGGGGTGATCAGGTTGTTAGCTTTTAACTGTTGCATATCTGCAATGCCTGCCTTGAGAGGGTTAACAAAGCAATCTCAGAAACCGTACAGTAATCTTGGGTGTGTGGGGGTCACCCAGAGTCAGAATCTAGTGAGATATCAGTGTCACCTCTTACAGTTTTCCTGTAATCTGAGCTCAAATATGAGAAAATATAGAGTACAGTACAGTAAATTGGGTAAATTTTACTGTTAATTTTCTCTGAATCGTACAGTAATTTGGGCTGTGGATCACAGGGTGGAGTGGAAAAAGTGGAAAAGTGGAGATGAACCAAAACTGGGAGTGGATTGTGAAGTACA